CAAGAATTTTTTTTTTTTTTTTGAGAAATGGCAGATATTGTTCCGGTTAATATGACATATGAGACACTTCAATTTTCTGAAACAAAACCTCCCCCTTATATGATTATTCTTTCTGCCAGTCATTTTGTTGTTATGTGCCATCAAGGCAGGACTGACTTATAACAACCCTAATACTGTAGGTCAAGGTAAATGAGGTATTTAAGGAGTGGTTTTACTAGTTCCACCCCACCTCCCTCTGAATTTCCATGGCAGAGTAGAGGAATTAAGCCCAGGTCTTCTGACTCCTAGTCCATTACTCTATCCACTACACCACCCTGGGTACCTTTACTGACCGTCATGCACATTGCTAACAATCAAGGAAGATTTTCTGCAGCATGGACTCGGATTTGTATCACTGGCATAGTTTCTCCAAAAGAATTCTGGGAATTAGTTCATCGAGAGAATTGGGGATTTTATGGAAGATTTGTAGCTCCTTAAATAATTACATTTCTCAGTGTTCACTGGAGAGACAGAATTACTATTCCATCTTATTTTTTCAAAGTGTTTTTGTGCAGCTCCAAAAGTTTCCCAAAGTGGTTTGTATGCAATCATTAATAACAAGACAATTCCTGCCCAGAGGCTCACAGTCTGAAAAGAAAAGACACGACATTAAAAAAGCAACAGTGTATATGTGTGCATGGGGACACATCTTTAAATAGGGCTGCAATAGCCTGTGACACACCTCACGTCTTCCTGAAAGGTGGGTTAGTTGATGAAGAAGTCTTCAAGGAGATGATATTTCAGATGGGCTGCTGAAAAAGTCATGCTTTCCATTACACCTCTCTCTTTCATATTCTCCTGAAGTATTTGGTCCCAGTGGTGGGTGTGGGGAAGAGACTAGTCCATAGTTCACATGTAGTAGCAGGTATGCTGTCAATTTCAGAGCTCCAGCAATCCACTAACATAGTTCAAGTATGTCTTTTGTAATAACAACTATCTACACAGTGACTGCATCTTTCTTAACTCAGGTTTGGATTAGGAATGTCAATGGCTTGTTAATTCTCCTTGTAAATTTCCCCATTACAGTAGAACTCCAGAATTTAAAAAAGCAAGTATGCTTTTAGTGTGAAGCCCCACAAATTAATATATATATATTTGGCTATTAAGAAACTCAAACATTATCTGATTAATACACAGCCACATCTACAAAATCTTGCAGAAATAACTTCTAGTAATCTGATATCTCAGCCCTAAAAATATTAGAAAAAAGTTGTACTCACAAGAGGCAATCAGTTATCAGCCACTTTACTGCTGCCAATAAGGCATAAAACGGCTGTTGAAAAAGAAGAAAGATAAAATCTCAGAAGAAAATCAATGTATTTTCCAGATAGTAAAAGCTAACACACAGAAGCCAACACAGTGAAATGCATTGCCTTGGAAGGTGGTAGAATCTTCCTTATTGGAGTTCTTAAAAATGGGGTTGGAAGGCCATCTATCCCTGATTCTCTAGCGGAGGATTTCCTAAATTGGCAGATTTTACTTGGGTGGTACCATTCAGATCTATGATCCTTACAAGTTGTGGGAGCATGAAGTCTGAACAGGGAAGCAAAGCACCGTAAAATTTCAGGGAGGATGTCAGATGCACCTATTTACAATCTCTTCTCTCTCTGAAGACAAAAGACTGGCTTGAAACCCTGTAGTTGAGTCTACTGGATCGCTTTAGTTCCAAATTTATACCTTGGAAGCATGTTACATGTGCAAAAATCCATCTGATAGTCTGATTTCAAGAATCACAGGCTTTTCAGGCCTAATTTTTCAACTATTTACTTTAATCCCATTGCCTGATGAAGACTTCTGGAGAACTTTAAAAACCTCGTCTAACTTTGTTGTGACCCCAGCCAGACCTTTGATTCTAGGTACGGATCACAGATCTACTTTTTAAGCTTATTCATCAGGGATGACAAAGCTGTTTTTGTGACTAAGTCACCTGACTCCTTTTTCCTATTCAAAGTATTATTTTGTTATCACTCTTAAGTGATAAAAAAACCCTGTACATTCTCACTTGATTTTAAAATAGAGGTGGACAACGTGTGACCCTCCAGACGTGGCTGGCCTACTGTTAGCTATCCTTGCCAATAGTTAGGAATCCTGGGAACTGTGATCCAAACAACACTTAGACAGTTGCATTTTGTCCATGCTTCTTTTTACGGAAAATAGACTAACACAGGAAACACAGAAAACAGTGTCCCTCTTCCTCATGCACTGAATTTTACGAGGGCATCTACTTGTAATCATCCCTGATTTTTCCAAAATTTCTTCCATCTTTTTTGTTACTCAGAAAGTCCATTGAGAAGAGAAAGAAGAAGCTATTGAGGGCAGCCTGGAAATATCTGGAAATATCCTAAACCTTATTAAGTAACTAGGGGACTGGTTCTCAACTCTCTAACCTCCAGAAATCAACACCTAGAAATCTAACCCACCACTGCTAACAATCCACAATTCTGGGAACTGAAATCTAAAAATGGCTGGAGGATCAAAGATTAAGATCCACTAGACCAGAGCAAGTACAGGTGACAAAATCTCCTTCTTACTGAGGTTTACAATACCTGTCCAACTCTAACTAGTGAAGCTATCCTTATTCAGTTAATACAACTTTCATTATGTAATCCAATTCAAAGCACTCAGCTCCAATCAGATAAAACTAATTAGTTAATCCAACTGTAAAAGTAAATCCAATTCTGTCCCATTAATCGAAGACCACTTTGATAGTTTCCTGGCGTTAGCAGCACTTTTTTGGATTTTTCTGTACACAGTTAATGGGCTCTAATGCTTTTTTACGATTTTACAGAGCAAATGAATCAGAGATTTTGTATATTAACCAAATAAATAACAAGAATCTATCAAGATGGTGGGAGGAAACAAGGAATAAAATATTCATCCTAACTTTCCAGTTTAGAATGATTTTTCCTATGTCTCCACATTAATAAATAAGTGTGACCATTTGTACCAATACAAATAACTGGAAACAGATCCAAAAATTAGTCTTGGAAAATAGGGCCAGTTTTATCTGAATGGAAATGCTTGTTTCCCCTTTTACTTTCTTGGAATTGGGAATTGTTTATTATTTCATCTGTTTAACTTGTTCTTCTGAGTTCGGTTAGTTGTGTGTGAAGAAAAGTGGAAACTACTGTGACAGGAAAGTGAAAAAGATTAATTTGCTGCAGGTTCAAAACTGAGTGTTTGTGTATTTTAAATATCTTGGATTACTGATAAAGAAAGCAAATCTCACTGGAAAGCTACTCTTTCCCCATTGTGTCCACTTTTGCCAGAGAGCGCTTGTTGTCCTGTTTCATGGAGCTCCAGCACTTCATACTTAAGTATTCAAACTAGGTCCAACATATGGTTTTAATATTCATTTTTTCTTGAGTTACCATCACAATACTTCTGACAGAAAAGAGAATCTCTGGTTTTGTTGTAAACAACTAAAAACCTGTCTTCTGATCCGTCTTAAGGTAGGCATAGCCATACAAAGGCATGTCATCATCTTGATCAGCCTCTTCCCCTGAGTCACTTTCCCAATGCCCTGTTTGGTATGGATGTACCTTAGCGGCCCCTTCTGCCCTTGCACAGCCTTCTAAGAGTGCAGAAAAATAATCAAAAACCAGAATGATTCTGCTCCCACTGAACTCATCAGAAGCAAAGATAGTGCCTGCTCTAACATTGTTCTGTCCTGCTTTCCAAGCCTAGCAAAGACAGCATAGCCAAGGTGACCTACTCTCTCATCAGTACTGCTTCGGAGGTGGACTCCTGTTGTCTTCGCTTCTACTTTATACTAAACAGGGCCAGTTTTCCAAGTTTTCGGGGAAACACAATAATGTATTATGCATTATTGTGTTTCCCCCAAAATAAGACAGGGTCTTATATTAATTTTTGCTCCAAAAATGCATTAGGGTTTATTTTCAAGGGATGTTTTATTTTATAGTCATGCCATCTTCTGGTTGCTGCACAATGCTGCAAAAGGATGGAGGGCGGGGTTTCACTTAACTGGGGCTTATTTTGGGGGTAGGGCTTATATTACGAGCATCCTGAAAAATCATACTAGGGCTTATTTTCAGGTTAGGTCTTATTTTCAGGGAAACAGGGTAGTACTTCCAGATAAAGTAAGGTTTTGTACCGTAATAGTAGCCGGTGTTGCATATGATATAGGGATACTTACACTAAGAAGAGGGCGGGCACCACTGTGGTGATGGTGGGACGATTTACACATGGCTTGGTAATCAAACATTTTCACCCTGCAAAAACACAAAAGTTGACAATCAAACCCATGAGTCGAACAGCTGAAGTGGCCTTATGCTAAGAAGCCATCAGTATACCTAGGCCCAGCGCTGCCTGCTCTGACTAGCCCCACCACTGTGTTACAGTCTCTTTCCCAACAGAGATTCAGATATGCCTATTTGTTCTGCAGAGATTCTAAGATCCATTGTCAAAAATGGGACTGCCAGATGTCTTTTTTCTGATAATTGAGCTTACTGAGGATATTTCACAGCAAGGTCCAATGCTGCATAGCACTTGATCGATTATGCTGCACCTAAAGAAAATATTTCTTTTAAAGTATGACCCTACCCCCATTATATAAAACCTCTATTTGTGATTCAGCTGAGTAACCCCAGCTGCTATTCTTTCACGCTGCAAAATCCAGAAATCCACTTATATCAGCTAGAAACATCCTAGCAACCTTTTCTAGCCAGTTACAATACTCAACAGGTTCTCATTCTACTATGGAAATTTAGGAAGGATTCCTACATCAGGACCACGAGTTGCAGAGGATATGGATATAAGCCAGTAACTCCTTCACCATTATACCACTGCATTGTTGAAGGAAAGGGGGCATCACTGCTGACAGTACCTGCATTAAAAAGTTACGTATCTGCATTCCATTTCTTCTGTCTTTCAACACGCATTTCCAGAACATGTAATACAGCACATCTGTTGCACGGCACATGAACTCACAATCACATTTACAAATAGCCCAAATTCCTGCAAGTGCAGCAACCCTTCCGTCAGCTACTGCAATTACTGCTGACAGCTGATTTATCCTCTTGATCATGCAGTTCACACATTACATTTGTCAATGTGAGCATGTACTGCAGAATGGATGGGAGACTTCCTGTGGACCACAAATGTGTAATGTGAACCAGCCCATTTAATAACTGAGCCAGAACACTGTACCTAACCGTCCTCTTTTCATATTTAACTATAATAATTCTCAATGGTGACAAATCATTTTGCTCCCACTGGCCTCCTCTGTGAAAACAGATTAATACAGAGAATATGATCATACTTACTTTTTGAACATTCCCATGTTTATGAGCTGAGCCATAACTGAGCCATCCACCTCTCCGAAAAATGTTCCAATCTGTAAGCAAGGGGAAATACAAATTCAGAAGGGTATAACCTGTTAGTGCAAAACAGCTTCTAATCACTGTAGCTAATATAGCTCCATAAAATTTTGAAATACCTAGCTGATTAGCACCATTATAAAACAAATCCTTTAAACATGGGATACTCTTCTCCTTCTCCCCTTTAAAGCCCAATATGATTTGGAGAAGTACTTACTTCTATACCAGACAGTCCTTACCACTGAGATGTTAACTGGAGGCATTCTTTTAGTGCTCTCACTTTCTGAAGTTAGAGGGATGGCAACTGGGACATGGCATTCTCAGTTGAGGCCCCCTGACAGTGGAATGCTCAGCATAGAATACTGGCTGAAGTCCATAAAATCTGTTTGGTTCCATGCTTGTGACATTATCCAGAAGCGCATGGGTGCAGGGGAAACTGGAGCATTTAAATGCTCATGAAGCCCAGTAAAGTTAGGAAAAGTCAAAGTAGCAAAAGAGAGCACAAAGATGCCCCAAATATTTTTTTTTTGAACCATAGGAGATTAAAGGAGGAAATGAACACCAAAGATTCAAATTAATTATTTCAAATCACAATAATCAACCTCAAGTGCAAAATAAACTAAGCTGGTTCCGAGGCTTTTAATTCAAATTCAGCCTCACTGATTCTGGCTGGAGCACTGGGCTTCACTGGCTATCATGGATTTGAACCTGGCCTATGGGGTAGTCTGGGTCACTATGTTTCTCAGCTTAGCCTAACTCAGGCCATGGGCAAACGGGGGACGTTGGAGTGGTCTGGTTTGTCCTTAAAAGGCTCTTATTTTTAGTGAGATCTATTTTCACCTCTCGGTTGAACAATCCTCCCATTCTCACTGACTGAGCATTTTTCTCCCGTGAGAAGGGTCCAGACGGGTCTTTGGATTGCTCCAATTTAGCCCCTGTTCAATTAACGATATTCCCCTGTCCCACCTTTTCCTGTGGTTGTCATTCAGTGGGCTATGGAGATTTTCTCTTTGTTGTTGTTAAAATAAAGTAAGTGACATAGATAAACAGCAATGTATTTCATTTATCTAGAATAGTGCTGCATCATTCGGAATATATATACAGTATTAGAACATTTTAAATGGTAAAGTAGATTAAAATAGAGGGGGAAGTTTCTCTGTTGTCCCTTTCAGTGCCACAACCCACCAAATAAGTCACAAGACCCTTTCCCTTTTTTCTCTAGTTCTTCTTTCACCCTCAGTTTTCTAAGTAGGCACAGAGAACTGTCATTGTTCACTAATTCATTCTTACCTGTTTGGAAACTTTAGAAACAAGTATGAATCCGTTATTATCAATGAGGAAACAACTGAGATTCTGAATTTAAAAAGAAAGGAAGATTTAGGAAGGATTTTCAAACATTAATAGAATTCAGTAGTTCCTAGTATGCAGATGTCTGGCCTGCCAACGAAAAATCTTGATTCTGTTTCTTATTTGCAAGTGACCTTATGCAGGGCTTTCCGCTCTTTTGTGCTTCTGTTTCCACGTTCCTTGAAATGGAAATCAGGAAACGTGACAGTATTGTAGGCTGTACTATTTTCTCCAAAAAAGAGGGTCATTTTAAATGTCTTCATCTGGAAATATCCCAAAATCCTCTTCTGCTTGACTTTGCCTATAGCCGGGATGGCAGATGGCGAGCAAGAACAAGAGTGAGAGGGTGCATGAACTTTCATCACTGAAACTGCCCATGGCTTTGGTGTTATTCACTACCCACTTTCAGCACCCTTCCTGGCACATTATCCTGAGAGAACGAAGATGCCACACTGAGGTCTACAGCAGTGGTCCCCAACCTTTAGCCTCCAGATGTTCTTGGACTACCACTCCCAGAAGCCTTCACCACCACTTTGGCTGGCCAGGATTTCTGGGAGTTGAAGTCCAAGAACATCTGGAGGTTCAAGGTTGGAGACCACTGGTCTACAGTACTCTTTGTGGCATGTCTGGGAATAAGGAAATGCAGATTTTTTTTTTAGTTCTTACCGTATTACAAATTAAATTCACATGTTCATTAGACTTAGGTTAACTAGTCTGAGTAACTTGAAGTTATTCTTCTCTGTGAATTCCTGTACTTCTGCTGTGCAGCTAAAGGAACTTAACAAAAAATTCAATTCTCTAACAATAATCCCTTGTGATGCCCCTGCAGCTTAGCCACTCTTAGCCACCTTCTCCTTCTTCACAGTCAAAATGGTGATTATTAAGGAAAGCATTGCCTTTGCCCCCCAGAGTTCCGGCTGAGGGAATTCCTGGCGAATTCTGAAAGCTGCCATGCAAAAAATACAGAAGTCCCATACCTAACTCACCATCATAATTAGTCACAGTTATGGCTCTTGACTGTTTTCATAAAAAGTAATTAAGCTGAAGAACCCTATTGATATTCATGTTACATTTGAAGAGAAAAGGAAACTGCAATTATGTAGGTTTCCTAAATCCATTCTAGAATTACAATGAAAATAAAATTCCTTCCAGTCTTCATAGACGCCTCCAAGGTTTTTTTCTGTCTGCCAAAGAGAACAACCTAATTGTCTAATCAGGAATTTAAAAGATGCATTTTCCTGACTTTCCCCTTTGAGGATGATGGTCTCTAACAGTGGAAATAGCAGTCCAGATCCTTGCCCTGGCCAGCCTTGAAGATACCTGGAGGGCCTTGGACCAGCATAGCCCTTTTTTGAATGCAACAACAAACCAAAATTCTTCAGCATTCTGGCTTGCTAGGGACATGTTATGCACATGTCCCCAGCAAGCCAGAGGCAACATGCTGTGGACACTGTCCAACTGCTCGCAGTGCAAGCAAGAGAAACTAACGAAGTCCTATACCTTCAATCTGCAGTTCATTTATTGTGATGTTCAAACCCACCACTCTGGCTTGTCTGTCCTGCAACTGGTCTGGGTCATGAGCTACATAAACATGGCTTCTCAAAGAGAACAGCCACAGTGCTGAGCTCAGTTGTCACAGTAAACAGCCAGTGGAAAAGCCATGGTTTTTTTTAGCCATTCCTGCGTGCTTGAACAAAGAGCAATCACGCATTGTGCACTAGATAGCCGGTGAAGAGTTCAACCATTTTTATCGTTACTTATAAAAATGGTTGTACTCTTTTTCACCTCAATCTGCCTCACAGGCCATTGGGAGAATGTGTGCCTTGAATTGAGAGCAGAAGAAGAAAAGAAGATTAACATGTAATTAAAAATTAATCCAAATAAATTTATTGTTGCTACTTTGTAATGCAATCAATCAATCAATCAATCAATCAATCAATCAATCAATCAATCAGGCACATTGGACCACCTGGATTCCAAATCTGTCTCAAGAACAACTGATCTCTCCTTTTCAGCTAAGACCAACTTATACCTTTTTTGCTGTAAGCAATTCATTATTTAAATTGTTGGTTGTTTTATCTTTATTTTGATTTTATACTATTATGTTTATTGTTTGGAACTGTGTATGTTTAATATGTAAACTGTGCAGAGTATCCTAGCAGCCAGATGGGCTGTATAAAATCCAAATAAACAAACAAACAAATAAGCATTGTGTAGCCAGTGATTTAAATTCAAATAGGAGGTAATAGACCACTGCCGCTAAAAGTGACTGCAATCCAATACAACAGATATGGAAAGGATCGGAAGAACTACAGAATATTTCCCTCTTGTGACCAGGGCTGGAGACAGTAGGTTTTCGTTCCATCCCCCATACAATATTTTTCATGAAAGTAATAGATGCTTCCACCTTAAAGGTGAATAGGACAAACACGAGAGGAGCCAAGTCATCACATCTATTTCTGTTGTCAGGCAAAGAAGGGTTAGAATGAGCCATGTTCCAGCCTTTTAACTTTTAAAAATAAATTAAAAACACCAATACAGAAATACTCAGGCTTCTCGTCGAGATGTATGAAAACATTACATATTCTGCCCCTGAATCAGTGGATTATAGATCGGAACAAAATTTTGAAATCCTAGAAACGTACCTCATCCTGGCAGCTCAAGGGACACTGGCCATCCACACTGCTACACTGGAACAGAAAATAAATTAAACAATAACTTGATTTCTATTGCATTGATCTAAACGGCATTAAGAACCTCTACAGTTCTTAAGGAGGTATCACGTCTTATCTTACTCTGATGGTTATAGAGATAAGTTACGTTCTCTGCCATAATATTTTTCATCTTGGGACTGTCTAGGTATTTTGGACTACAACTCCCATAGTCCCTGATTATTAGTCATAACAGCCATGCAGCTGATGGGAATTGCATTCCAAAAGAACCTAAAAGTTGCCAATTGGACAAGGTTCTCCTACAAGCAGGATCATGTTCATTAAAGCAACAAGAGAAGTACTCAGGGGTCTTCTCACTTCAGTTCTTCTTCCTATAATGGACTGAGGCCCAACATACAGAGAAGAAAGCAGAGTGGTGTTTCTTTCGGTATTATACACACGAAGTAATAGGAGTTAGTAGCATGTATGTATGAAAAACTGGTCCATATTCCTGGTTTTCCTCCTAACTTTGCCGTTACAGAGAATGGAACCAAAGTTAAAATCTATTGAAGATTTGTTAAATTGAAAATAAAAGGGCTCACTTTGGTCCTAGTGTATTTCAGTTTTAGTAGGGCAACGCCACTTCTCATTACATGTCTTTTCTATAATGTTTCAAACTGGAGACATGCATAAAATCATCCTGGGAGTTTGGGCCAGCCATCACCATCATGCCCAGGTTCACATTTCCTGTCTGTTCACATACATGTGCTCCTGTCAAATACTGCATAATACAGATGCAAAATACTGTCATTTTTGTTGTAAACACTCATCCGTTCCAATCAGTCTGGAGAAGTTACTCATAGAATTACTTCTGGTGCATATTTCAAAACATATAGCAATTATTTTGAAGATCAATTTTTATGGGCCACATTTGTACCATCTAAGTCTCAGAAGGCTAATCAATGTTTAATCTTTTCAACCTCACACAGTGATGCCTCCATTTCTCACAAATCTGCTTTAGACACCAAATGAAGGCAGGTAACCATCTTGCAAGTTATAGGATTTTAATGCAAGGCAAGTAGGCCTTTGGTAAAGAAACTGTTATTTATTGTCCTATAAAGTGCTAAAGAGAATGTTTATAATTCCTCTGTTTTTCTTGATATCTAGTCAGGTGGGGAAATACGGGAGCAATCTCCTTACCTCATGGCAGAACAACGAAGGCAATTGGCTTAATTAATTAGCTGCATGCACATTTTAGGGAACTGACAGTGCTACTCAATGCTAGTTACTTCAATGAGGATGTACAACAGGGATTGTGGAATAATTATTGCAGCAAAAGAAATTTTCAGTGGAGGTAAGCATGGCAGAATGATACCCTCTCTATTAATAGCAACAGTGAAGAAAGTAGTGGTAATCTTGGCAGCATTTTGTTTTCTGGTAACATTTTGACAAATTATATATGAACAGTGTACAGTGGCCTTAGGCACTGTTCATTTGCTTCAGCTGTACAGTTGCAGTAAACGAAAGATGACATCTGTCACAACGCTAAACTGAACAGGATCTTAAGGGTTAAATGGTGAGTAAGAAAGTCTTACAAGCCCTTGTAGGCTTCATAATTATCCAGCATACTGTGCTTACTGCCATGATGCCTGCTTCTTTGAAATACTTCGCTACGGTATTTATATATATTTTAACCAGATGCCTTTTTCTCAACTAAGAACAACAATAATGGGAGAATACATGGTGTTTGTAATATAGATCTATAACATTTAAGCATGAGACATCAGCATGTTCTGTACTTGTCTCAATGGATTTGCAAAGCTTGGTAAATAAAAGTGCTACCAGTGGCCCTCTATGAGTCTCAGTCAAACTCACAAACGGACACACAAATGACTGAGTTACAATGACTGGGGCTGATTGGGCAGGCCACTTTCTTTAAATGTGGGTGGGAGAGCCTTTCTTCACCCAAACTGAAGCTAAATATTTTTCTTTTCTTTTTAAGTAATAGAGGAATGCATTTCTACTATTTTAAAGAGGTACAGTGAAAATGAAGAAATAAATAAGTTGAAACTTGGCAATCAAGAGATTTGGCTTTGCTATATACAACAGAGGCACTGATTTATCTTGGATTTAGGGTGGGAGAAAGGAGAAAGAACCACCTCACTTAAATATTTCTAGCAGGCTAGACTATTATAAAAAGAGGGAGCAATTCTTCCCATCTGTTCTGTCCCATTTGTGGCAGAGACAGTGGAATATTTTTTTTACTTCATATCACTTGAATTGCACTGGGTAAACCTGGCTGACTTACTGTTTGAAAGTTTGGCTGTTGTCTTCACATTGTCTATTAGTTCAAGAAGTTATGGAATCCAGAAAGCTAATTTGATATGCAGATTCAAATCAGCACCTACTGTATCCTATTACTTTGATTAATCGGCACTACCCTGTCAAACAGGAATGCAAATATTTTCTGGAGACAAGAACTGACTGTGATAATCAGATTCCCACTAGTCTGTTTAATATTCCTGTGCCCATCTGTGCATATTAATAAAAATGCCTGGTTGGTTGTGAACGTTTAAAAAAATGCTCTTGACTAGCTCTATACTACATAGAGAGAAGAGCATCTTTTCTTTGTGAATGCTGGTTCACTTTCACAAAGCTGCATTCGGTTGTGATTACTTTGACCTATGCTTCTACTGGCAGAAAAAGGCAAGCCAACAAGAGTATATTTTGGAGATGCTGATTTCTACATTGCTTTGAAGTGTGGAATAAGAGTATTATGTCTAATTATTACTCTTTATGTGTTACTTAACATTCAGACCTATCTTTAGACAAAGCAAAATGTAAGAACATCCTCAGTAAATCAGAGGTTTTGTATCTCTTGGCACCAATTTAAGCCTTGCATTGTGGACAGTGGGAGAAACACCACCACCACCATCAGTTCACAACCTGGTATATATAAGGGAACAAACGCTCTGTCCACTTTCTGCTGCAACTAGAAGCAAGCTGTATTCATAGCTTATCATCCATTGCTCCATAGAATATCATAAAGCTCAACAGTATTTGGCTACATTGTGGATGCATAATGCCTAAGGCTTCAAGCTGCTTCTGAATCTTATATATTTTTTCCATTATTCATGCTACCAATCTGGCTCTAGATTTAGGCATCTACAACTGGGCCTCCCCAAAGCAGCCTCTCTAGCCCAAGAACATGATTACTAGAGGGTCAGATAAATCTGCTCTGTGGGATAGACTCTGGAGTGGGAAAACAAGAAGACAACAGAAAATCAGGTCTGAGAAAGTGGACTTGTCCATGAAAGCTCACATTAAAATAAAACAGTCTTTAATATGCCACAGCTTTTTTTGTCTTCTTTATTTTTCATTCTTTTTATTCTTTATCTTTTGTTTTTGCCCGATATAAAAATCAGCTGGAAGCAACTTGTTTTGTGAGTGGATTGACTTTAAGGGATACGCCAACTATCTTGCACCACAGTCTCCCCCATTTTGTAAAATCCAGTGACCTTCTATGGCGTTTGGGGATGCACAGACCACTATGGAGGGGGGGGATGCAGAACCTTGCTACCCATGCTTAAGTGCGGATGTAATAAACCTCCATCAAGCAACTCAAACAAGCAACTTGTTCTGCTTGTTTTCTGTATTTGTCACTGTTACAGTTGCCTTCAAGCCGGACTCAGAGCAACTGTAACAAGGCTTTCAAGGTAAGTAACATAGTTAAGGAGAGTTTTAATTAGCTCCATACACCCAAAGTGCATCCATGGCTGAGTTGGGATTCAAACCAAGGCCTCCTGAGTTTCATTGCTTTATCCACTGCACCACACTGGTATCTTTCTACATTTAGTAAGATACCTAACCATGCATTCAGCTCAGCAAATGACAAGAATGATGTATGACTAGCAAAGCTTCATGAAGCACACAGGCAAGAGGTTCTGGGAAATGGCTTGGCCTTCTCAGAGGTCCTTACTTACATCTGTGTCATTAGGCTGGAAGACGAAAAATTGAAGAGTCAGCATACACAGCATTTGAGTACATAGAAAGGGCAGAAAAATAAGAGACAAAATGTGCATTAGCAACTTGTTCAACCACTATTAAGTGTCAATGAGCTAAGAAGGGCGTTGTCACACATGAATGGGTTTTGGAAACAAAAGCTGAAATGGGAGCAAACTTATTCAACATTCTTAATAATCATTCCTTCCCCACTGATACATGTAATTATGTGTGTGTGTGTGTGTGTGTGTGTGTGTGTGTGTGTGTGCACGTGTGCGTGTGCGCGTGTGTGTGTGTGTTTCCTCCCTCTTTCCCTCTCACACACATACCAAGTTCACTGGGCTTTAAAATCCAAGCAAATTACACTTGTCTCTCAAGAGTGCTGTGTAACAACACATTCATACATCAATTCTAAATGACCATCTTCACCCTGCTCAACTTCCTCCACCTTTCATAATCATACCTCCTTCATCCATTCAAAGTAGTGATTTCTTCAGATGTCAGCCAGTGATGACTTTTGCCCCACGGCAAATAAGTTCTTTATGAGAGAAGGATTTTTACTGGAACACTTTGTGTGTGGGGAGAAGAGTTAAACCGTTCCCCTTGGTGACACGATCCTGGTGAGCCTACCCATCGCTATTATTTACAAAGTTATAAATCAGCACATTAAATGCATTAATGAATTTACCATCACATCTTGCTTGGACCTCAGTCAAAAGATTTAGTTCAGCTTACAATATTCAAGGCTTGTTTATAATGCAATATAAAAGAACCGGAATCTTGACTACCATATATTTACTATCTGCATTTCAGCATAAATATCATTAACTTAAATTATCAGCCTTTTAATGTAAACAAAGCAAAGCAAATGCTAGAGGTAACATGTTCCAAACCGAGCAACCAGCACCAAATTAGAAGAGCATTTGATTGTCTCAGCCAGAAATATATGAATCAAGCTTAATGCAAATGGTTTGGGGGAGAAGAAACTGTGACCTAGAGGAAGAAACGGGTGTGTAGTGTAATGCTATGCAATCAGGACAGTAAAGTGGAACAGGTAGATATTCTGAATCTGAGACCTAAAGTTGAAGAGGATTTTTGGGAGGCTGAAGTAGTAAAGGCATAATTCTACAATTAAATGTGTCAGCTGCAGTGGATTTAATGCCATGCCAAGCTTGTGACTGTTAACATGATGTTCTGAGAACAGACTGGCAGCTGATGCAGCAGTAGAATTGTCAAAGGATTACCAAAATGTGTAATTTAAAAACTAATCTGTTGCACAAATCTGTTTAATACACATTTTAGAAAGATTCATGTGGAAGTATGGCAAGGAAAATATCAGCTGTCCCATCCTGTTTGCATATCTTTTGTGACACTAGCCAACAGAAAGTGACTCCTCCATTTTAAAATACATCAGGATAAATATCAGCATCCTTACCTGCTGGGCAGTCATCCACAACTTACGCTGGAGTAATTCCAGTTTCATTTGCAAACCCACCGCTATGGAGAAACAAGACAAAAATTGAAGGGTTTGAGAGAAAGAAAATTACAAATGTGTAATAGGGACAGGAAATAAAGACATTGTGGGGCCACCAGAAGAAATCACACCAGCTATAAGTGTAAACGACAGGTAAATGCTGAGTCAGTCTATAAAGTGAGAGTCAGAGGTTTAACAAGGTAATGGAAACGGAAGTTTCAACTGCTGTTCTGTACACTGACACTTGCCTCCCACTAAACACTACCGAGATCCAACAGACTGCCAAAATGCTTTCCCTTTTGGTTGGTGTAGAAGATAATAAAAGCCATCTGATGCAATCACACCTCAAACTCAAAATAGTTTGGTGTGTGAAAAAGTACTTCCCTCTCACTGGCCTGAATTTCCTACCATTTGGCTTACCTGGATGACTGAAGAGTCTAATTCTATGAAGTTTTTCCTAACTATTTTCTGCACACCAAACGTAATTTTATGTGCTTCTGTCATGCTCTACTTTACCAGGACTTTTGAAGGTAAACTTCCCCCATCATTATATCATCATAGGTGAATCCCTCAGCCTCTTGATAATTCCAGCTGCCCTTTCCTGCAGTTTTGCAATGTCTTTTTGAGTTGAACAAGGAAAGATGGAAAACTTTCAGGGTTCACCAGTATTTATAAATCTGTGACTCAAACAAGATAATTCAGAATTAATGGCCTGATCCATTTCAGGCAATGATGTGGATAGTACATAGCTTATGGTTTACAAAAGATCCTTCCTGATTTATTTACTCATCCTTTGTGGTCCCCTTAGGAAGCAAAAATCTCTTAGTAAACAAGACACCACTTTGTTTAAAGAGAAAAATGGCAGGTGTAAAAAACCCCACTATTTTTTCATGCCACAATGTTCAATTTCAGTGGTAAAATCAGTAATAGCATGGTACACGTCTCATTCCAGATTCTGGGAACTGCACCTGGTCATGGAGAAATAGCACACCTTTAAATGTAAAATGTGTGTCTAATCTGGTTTCATCTTAATTGGGAAATCATAATATACTGGAAATGCCAAGTGAACACCTTTCCTTTCAGATCAGGTCTTTCAGCTGTTGTATTACTCTATTTAAAATATTTTACTCTGTTCTTCGGCCACAAAGGTTCCTCAAACATCTTAGGTTTCATCAATAAAAACAAAGGCAGTTCCTGACAGGCTTACAATCTTAAAAAAAGAAAAGGAAAACAGAATAGGTAATAAAGAGAAAAATAAGCAAGCTCTGGTACCATTTGTTAAAGTTAGATGGTTGCTCTTGTATGTAACAGGAATGGTAGCAGTTTAGGGAGTTAAGTTAAATATAGTTAGCCTCTCCGTGCAGGTGTCTGAGTGGCCCTTCTACATCTCTCTCTGCAGCACACTTATGTCAACACTCTGTCAACATGTGCCGTCCAGTAACTTTTGACTTGTGGCAACTCTGTGAATTAATATCCTCCAGAAAGTCCCCTCATTAATAGCCTTCTATCCAGAAGCTCTTTTCTAACATGACATTTCAAATGAGTCATTTTTTTTCCTGTCAGCATTCCTCATTGTCAAATCTCTTACTGGAGACTTGGCCTTTAGTCTCCAAAGATGAATCTTTATTGTCAAAGATCTTCTCTGCTCCCATAGGTGCCTTTCTGAGTCTCAGTCTTCTTCTAATTTGGCTACAATTGTCGTTTGGATGGATAATTGAACTGAGCTATAGCAAATGTGTACCTATTTTGATTTCCTCGTTGTTATGCAATTCTTCTGTAGTACAGTTTTCCTAATGTTCAGTTGAGTTTTGTTTCTTAGTTTCTTGTTTAACTTTTATCCGTGATTATGTGGGATCATTCCTGTTTTCTGCCAGTAACAGGGCATCATCTACATATCTTATATTACCTATGTTTCTTCCACCAATTTTCACTCCATCTAAATCTAATCCAGTTTTCTGCATATGTTCTGCATATAGCTCAAAAGACATAGATACATGTCCTTGTCTGACACCTTTGCCTATTGGAAACCATTCTGCTCTTAATTATTCTGATATTAACATTTGAACCACATGTCATTCCTGGGTCCTGTTTCTGTCAAGAGCATAAACCTTCACCATCTTCTGCTTCCAGTTATATAGTCTATTTGATTTCTGTATTCACCACCTGGTGACACCCACATGTACAATTGTTTGTTCAGCTGCCCGAAGCATGTATTAGCAGTAAACAGCATATCTGAAGCATGTATTTGCTTATTTCTGACTCCTAGGCCAAATTCTTCGGTACAGTAGTTTTTGGTTATGCTTTATTTCTTCCTTTTGTATTTCTGTCACCTATAAATATCAGCATTTTCTGTTTTGGTGTGTGATTATTTTCCACTTAGACACTTGCCTAAAAGCTTTCCATTTCTTCTTCAGCATCTATAGCTGAAATATAGACATGGATGATGGCTGTGATAATAGGTTTTCCATGAAATCCGATCGATATTATTTGCTCAGAATTTACACTATAGCTAGTGCATATCCACTCATTATTAGAGCCAAACCTTTTTTTTTCTGAGTTTGTCTTTCCAGACAACTTTGTAATTATCGGATTGAAATTTGAAAATGTTATTGGACCATTTCAGCAACATGGAGAGGGGGGATTTGCTGCTTGGGTAACAGCCTGTCCTCCATACTACTTTACCCAGGCTTCATGCTCTAGAGAGGACTCTCGATACAGAGCATGTTACCATAGTCTCTCGAGACTGAAGGATGCCTATGATGAGTGTCACAGTCCAAGATATCACAGGAAGCCTCTCACCATGGATAAGGACACCAGGGCCCAGTCCACCATGCAGGGTATCAAGTCCAAAGACACTCACTGCGCAGCTGGTCATGACAAAGCAGAGGCAGGAGCACTAGGCTGGGAGCTGGGTCAAAGGACCAGGAGCACAGAGATGGAACAAGGTGCTGAGATGCAGGAGATCAGCATGTACCAGATACAATGTGCCTCAGTTCCTGTCCAACTGTGTTTCTCCTGGCACTGCCAATGCTAAGAAAAGGACCAAACCTTCATTCCTAAACCACTTTCTACATCATGTCTGAAGAAACACGGATAGAGCTGAATAAATATCAAAAATCGAGGGGGAGGGATAGAGCTCTCATTTACTAAACTGAGAATCAGCAAATTTCTTACCTTCAGCCAACTGTTTTTATTGAGTATGATCCCAGATAATATAGATAAAGTAAAGGAGTGTATAGTCATACATATACTGTAGTCACCGCAGCCAGAATTCTCTATGCCAAAAATTGGAAAAGTCCAATGGTACCGAAAGAAGAAGATCTTATGGAGAAGATAAGGGAAACGGCAGAAATGGACATTCTATCAGAAGTGATGAAGGACTGTTCTTTACAAAAGGCAACTGAAAGATGGGACTTATTCTACAAATGGTTAGAGTCACCAGACAGTGCTTGAATAACATAGATCAAAATGTGAATTAAAATCTGAAAGGCAGAAAACAGTAGAAAAGCTGAGTTTGAATTTTGATATTGCTATATGAATAGAATGGATGTTAGTATATTTTTTATCAAAACAATTAAAAAAAAAACTGTCCCTGCTGCCTACCATCAAGGCTCTGATATCTAGAACTCCTACCTCACCAAGACATTTTAGAGACTCCAAATGCTGAGTGACAGTTGCCTGCCTACAGTGACCTGACCTATTCATGGCAAAGGCAAAAATATCTGACACTAAGACCTTGGTTCGCAGGTAAATCTACTAGCCATGATGTTGCACTACTTACATATGTTAAATTTGAAGCTGGAATACAGCTCTGAAGGAGCCAAAACCACAGAGAAAACTTAATTCCATACTATGTGTGAATTGAACCTGGCAGCTGGCATCAGGGGCAAAGTACATCATTTCTGCTCTTACAGCTGTGATGTCAGCATCCTTCATGTCATGTTTCTACTGCTGGTACATCTTGCAGCATACTTATTATAAAAAGAATCTGAACACAGTGAAATGGGGACTAGAATTGCTTCCCACAGCTGCCTTTTTCTGGAACATGCACAACTAGATAAGACACAAGATTCATCTGGATCTAGGTTTGAAGGATATAATGGCACCGGGACTGCTAGGATTTACTCAGATACTCTTGGCTAATATTATGTGAATTACTTTGGGGATGCACAATGGATCTGAACAGGTCATAAAAGGCAGACTTTTGTCTGAGTGCTAAAAAGCATCTAGCAAAGATAGAGCTTTGGCCTGGCCTCGTGGGATGGAGCTGGGGACTAGGGAGCCTTGCTGAAAGTCAACATAACTATGAGAAATAATTCCTGCACTTCTTCAGCACAAGCCTCTGCATGTTGGAGAGCTGTATATTATAAGCTGTAAATTAGGGAAGTGCTTGCTGATTTGATCTGGAAGACAGTTTGCCTTTTGTATACAGATTAAATTCCCTGCGTCCCTTGAAACATATAAGAGTGGAAGCCATTCTTTCCATCACAGCCAAATCAAAACAGGAATGAATATTATTCAGGAGTTGAAGCTTCCTTACTTAGACTTTAGAGCAGTTAGTACTCAGACAAGTAACCTTGCAAGCATAGGAAGCTATCAAATGTTTCATGTTTTCATCAAAAGGAGTCTTAATTCTTGAAAAATAGCTCTAAGAGAAAGAAAAGCATGGTGAGAAATCCAGTTTCTCTACTTACTACAGAAAACATAAGAAACTCCCATTGCATGTAATAATTAGAAGACAGTCAAGTTACAAAAAGATGAAGATTATTACAGTACATAGTAAATTATTTCTATATTGCCATAATAGAGAAGGTGTATATACAGAAAGGAAGCACAAGGAAATGACATGTGAAGGTACAATGGGACAAAGAAGCACCAGATCGTCCAGGGCCAGGTATAGGACACAATATCATACCACAGTTAGTTCTCAAGTTAAAAATATCAATGTCTTTTCAGCTGGTACTTGTCATAAGTGGTAGTGAAGAAAGTACAATAAGTCCAGGATGGCAAATGACTGTTCGCTAATCTTGGCCAAGGGTGGAGCGTTGCTCCATTGTTGCTGAATGTGAACCATCAGGAAAGTTAAAAGAAATAATTAAAAAGGAACTAAAGCAAATATAATCTGCCCCAAAAATTTGATAGCAGGCAGTTAAAGCTGCTGACAAGTAATTCTGCATGAATTTAGCTTTGGGAAGTATTTGATAGCAGGCAGTTAAAGCTGCTAAGATGACAAGTAATTCTGCATGAATTTAGCTTTGGGAAGCAGAGATTGAGGGCAGGTGATCAGAAAGGAAATTTTACAGAGACGATGACATAGAGCAGTGGTCCCCAACCTTGGGCCTCCAGATGTTCTTGGACAACAACTCCCAGAAGCCTTCACCACCACCTCTGCTGGCCAGGATTTCTGGGAGTTGAAGTCCAGGAACATCTGGAGGCCCAAGGTTGGGGACCCCTGACATAGAGAACAATCTGTGAGAAAAGACTACTGAAAGGTTGGAAACTGGTAACGCAGGATGCAACCATGGGTAGGCCCAGCAATCAGCCACAGCAATGAAGAAGCAAAAAATGTTTCAGGTTCACTTATGTCTGTACTGACAGTGGCGTGAATGGCAAATTTAGCTTGGAGTGCAATTCCAATGATTTTGTTTTATTAACTCAAAAATATACAAGCACTTTATAGCCCCTTGCCCTGAGCCTTTGTTTTTTAACTGCCCTGCACAATTTTCTTCCAAAAAGTATCCTTTACTAGTCAACTTTTTAGTTTCACCGTAGCCAGTGGCTGTTTCCGGTGAGCCACTGCAATCACTCTTTCGCCAGTCCACTGTTTTGGACCCCCTCTGACATGTAATGTCCTTTCTTTTAGGTCACTAGAGAGGCCAGAAGTTATTTTCCATTCCAGCCCCCAACCCTTCAAAGAACCTGCTCTGCACACAAAGCTGTTTCTCCTGCTTTTTACAGTGCCGTTTATTGTGCACAACTGGTCTCTACCACCCCCACCCTCTACTCCCCACTGCTTCATAACAAGGAGAAGGCAGAAAGAAATTTAAATCCATCTTGATAATCTGCTCCTCCTTCACTCTGATAGGTCTCTGTCAAAAAGAGGTGAAGAGGTTTTAAGCAACACCGGAGCACCTGCTGTTTCTCTAAGAGAAGATGAGGGTAATTCTGAGCTTTCAAGCGCCTGCCGGACTGAGGGAATGGAGGTGAATTGAGAGTGAATTCCGCCGTTGAATTGAGAGCGGATTCTACCAGATTGCCTGGGTCAACTCCTTCACACTGAGTGCGCTTGTGAGTTTGAACGTACGTGCATGCTCATGTGTGTGTGTGTATGTGTATAGTGCTGTTATCACAGATGTACCCCCCAGCTGTCACTCCACCCCGCTTAGTCTCTTCCTCCGTTTCTCTCCCCCCCCCGCTCTCCACTTGGTGATTTCTCGATCATTCAGCAAACAGCCTTCGCTTTCATACACAGGCATCTCCCTTTGGCTTCCCTGCTGCACTTCCAATGGTTCGGGAGCCTTAGCATCATGCAGAGTGAAGAGGGCTGATGCCAAAAGGCATCCTCGGAGTGCCTGCCTGCTTGTTTGCCGACTGCTTATACTGGAATAATTGGATACCCACAAGGGAATTTGAGCGCTCTGAAGAGACTCCA